CATCCAAGTAAGAAATAACCAATCTCATTAATGACTCAGAAAAAGGATAAATCTGTGGGGTGCGCCTTCTGTGACAATTTGATCGTCAAAAGCGATGACGTCATATGCACGCTCCATGAATCGGGTCTCTACTAAGATAGAACTGCATAGAATTAACCGCCCTCTCTTTCTAAGTTTGCAAAAATTCCCATCAGAGAAAGTAGAAACGCAGTTTACGGGCATACGTAAGCTTCCGAGCAATTCGAATGTGGGAAGGGGAGCAGCGGCAAATATGCAGTTAATTACGTTCGTAATTACAGGCCAACTAGTCATGCGAATAGGGGAGGGGGATTGGAGGGCGATGATAGGCGGCTAGTTATGCAGCCTTGTCGGTTAGTTGAAGCCGGACCAGGGGGAGGGAGGAAAGGCGAAAGAAAGCGCGGATAAATGCAGGCAGTTAAGTGACTGAGAAGAAGACGACTCGATCGCCTGACGTTTCGAGATCCATCGCGGATTCAGCATCAGAGACACAAGCACAGAGCAATAGCAGATAAGTGGCCATTGGCCATGCCAAGCTCGGAGCTTGCCGGAGGTTCTTTTGCGCGCGCAATACCAGATTCCTCAACCGGATAGCTGTTGCTTCTGCTGTTGCTTGTAAACACTGATTCAGGAAGTTGGGGTAGTTAGGTGGGGCCTTATAAATCACCCTAATGTTTTCCTTGAGGTCCGCACAATATGTGGAATCAATCATGTATGCCAGAATAGCGCCGTTTATGCTGTTGACTTCCCCTTTTTGGAGCCATATTTTCTTACTATTTTTGATAATTGTAGACTTCTTAGGCCTATATAGCCCGTTTCACAGGAGCAAGTAAAGGCGTAAATGCACGTTGAGGTGGTCTGTGCTGGTAAACCATCCTGACTTTCCCCATGTAAGACCGGTTTGGGTGAGAATAATACCCGAACTCTCTCCGCTAGGAAGGTCGTGACACGACTTGGCCAAGGCGTCTGCAGAGGAGTTCACTTGCCGCATCCCCTTGTAAGGGGACTTTGAGGACTCATGTTTTCTTTTCCACAGTAACTGTGGCGGGTTTTATTTTTTTCGCACCCATATTCCTTGCAATGAAACTCCTAGGATACCCCTACTCGCGGAGCAGGTCCTGGATATTCTTGAGCTCCTTCTTAGTACTGTCTGTTAAGCAACCTTTTATAGCCCTATGCCCTAAGCAGCGAACTAGATTTCGTTTGTGTTGGAGGGTTACGTAACTGGTAAAATTCGTATATTGTCCAGACCAGGTCTTCTTTCGACAAAAGCTCCTTCGAACGGTACCATCAGGTCTGCGACTGCGGTTCTCCCTCTCGGTCTCTTCCTTCACCTACCTTATTTTAACGGGAAAACAAATTCAACATGGCCGAAGAACGGAACGGGCGCCATGGTCGAGATGTTGCAGCAACATCAATGAAAGAGAAGGTCAGCCAAGGGGCCCGTCTGGCCTGATACGAAATAAGAAGACAAATTGCTGCATGCTAGATGGGAGGATATTGTTTTTCACTCAGAATAATCCGACAGCAAGATGGAGCGGGTTAAGAAGAAGAAAATGCGAGCTCTGAGACAATACATTTATTCACATGTCGCTTCGAAGTCCGTCACAGGTTCTTCATCAAAGACATTAACACAACCAATATCAGAAAAAGGTAATTCCTACACAGGGGGTTGCATTTTTAATAGGATACAGTCACTATGGTAGTGAACATTAAAGACAATTAGTGACTCCTCTATCGAGGACAATTGCCCACTTGTGCGCTAGTTGTTTTATGACCAGTGTGCAGG